ATAACATGCATTGACCCCTTAAGAATTCTGACCCAACTGGTCCCCTAAGAGGATTTCCCACAACAACATGCAGCCATTGTCTTCTTGATATCAGACCTTCACTCATTCTCTCAAGGAATCTTTCAATAATATGTTCAGTTATCTGATTTAACGAATATAACAATCATTGACCTAACAGAATATGATCACCTAAGATCTCCTGTTAGGATTTTCCACAAAGACCACATCCACTATCTTCTTGAGATCAGGCCTTCACTCAGACACTCAAGGAACCTTTCAATGATTTGTTCAATGATCTGATTTAACGGATATAACAATCATTGACCTAACAAAATCTGATCACTTAAGATCTCCTATTATAATTGTCCATAATGACCGCAACCAGTGTCATCTTGAGATCAGACCTTCACTTAGCCACTCAGAGAATAAATTAAATAATAGATAAGGGTTTTTGTATTTACATGATTGCTTCTTCTAATCAGATTACACAAGTAATTTAAGCACATATTGTTTAACATATTTTCGAGCAACAACTCTAGTGTTAAAACAATTTACATGAAGAGATTGGAATTGTAACACTATGAGAAATAACTTGTGTGTACGTTACAAAGTTCTACCAAGATGTATTTGATCAGAAGTTGAGTAGTATCTTGTAGTATTCTTCTTCTTCATCTTCTTGTTGAGCAAGTTTCGAGCAGCAACTCCTTGCTTCTTCTGAGATCGACCAAGATGTATGTGATGATAGTTTGTATAGCATCTTGTAGTCTTCTTCTTATTTCTTTTTTCTCTCTCATTTATGTGTAGTGGTTTTTAGCATGTTTAGTATTACAGATTTGACATCTTCAGAATCCACGACATTTTAGCTTGATGGCCAAGAGTACTTTACTTCAAGTCTTTGATCTTATTTTATATCCTTGAGAGAGAGAGAGATAGAGAGAGAGAGAGATGTTGTAAGGATAGAAAAGTATTTACCTACATCAACGGTTAGTTCTCAGCGGATATAATATTTTCCATAGCCTGTCATTTTTCAATGCTAGCTTTCCACCTTTTCTCTAAATAATTTTTTCTAATAAGCTTGTAAATAGAAATTCGTTAGGGAAAGAAAGTAATTGTAAATCCAATTGTTTGTTCCCAACAGTCACAATGAGATGTTTGACAATACAGTACGAAAGGACTGTCCTTACGCCACCCTAGAGGGTAGAGGTCACAAGCACTTTTTATACCTTTTTTACACCATCATACATTAACCATTTAGAACTTCTTCTTATCTTCAGAGGCTTCAGATAATTTGAATGTTTGAAGCTTGTTGTAGAAGAATCACTCTTAAGTCTTAGAACCTAATTCTTGGATTCTTCAGAACTTGTCCTATCAGAACCTCATCTTTAGAGTCTTCGTCACTTGGTTGTAATAACTTGTTTTTCTTCAGATCATCGGAACTTGTTCAGTAGAACCTCATCTTCATAATCTTCAGAACTTGTATCACATAAGCTAAGCTTTAGAAGGCCTTCATAGCTTACTTATAAAGTCGCGATCACAACCTCTTGTACTAACGTTCTTTTAGACACGTTGTATAACACGTATTTAGAATCTTGACTTCAACTGTAACACTTAACCATATGTTTTCTTCCAGAGTGTTATATTCAGAACATGATGATGTCACACGCCTTCATGCCAGAGTTAGAACATGTATAGCAGGAGCTATACACTTAGAACGAAACCATAAGAGTATACAATTGTTCACTAAGATAACATGTAAAGTTATCATCAAAATCTTAAAGGCGGATGTAGAAACACTTCTTATTCTTATAGTTAGAACATCTTCCATAACATCCTTGCAGCAAACTATGCTTTAGCAAAACTGTTGTCAATCCTAAAACCATGGTACTAACACTTCTAACTTAGTGAAGCATATATGATTTATCCCGATACTTAATTAGAGGACATGATTTATCTCTACAATCCTGACAGAGGAATATGTAATTATTTTGATATTCCCAATGAAGGATTATGACTATTCATGAAAAGATATGGTGCTTATCTTAGTGATCTGGTTATGTGAATATGGTTCTTATCCTATGATTCAGTTAGAGGGCATGTTGAGTTGTCTTGGTAACCATCACAATGATATGTGATTTATCTTAGTGATTCAGTATAAAGTATGTAGAGTTATCCCAATTAACCAGTAGAGAAATATGCGAGTTATTCCCCTGCTTTAATTTTTGGGTTTGGTGATATATCTTGTAATCAAATCAAGTTCATAAGTATTGGATCGTTTGTCCTAAGTTGTGTATCAGGATAGCTTTTGGGATTAGAATGTGTTAGGGTCTTAGATAGAAATCCATTAATATTATCCCATGTTGTTATATTATTATTCACATAATCAAGTACTCGAGTTGGATTCGCAATTAAGTATTTTTCACACTACCAATTTTCATAAATTTTAACACAATTTAGATATACATCTCTGAAATTTCCCAAATTTCAGATATGCATTTTTAAATTTACCATTAATAAAAGTACGTTAAGAAACTGTCAAATAAATATTTCTTACAAAAGACTTGGAATTTTACAATCTTATTTAGTGTCAAAGGTATTTTTCAATCCCATTTGACATGAATTTCAATTGTCTCCATCCTTTAAAGGTTTAAAGATTGAATATGAGGTTTTAGAAGCATGTAAATTTTTTAAGGACTATTTTGTTACAAATATAAAATTAAACTTGAATGATCATTTTGTCACATGGACTTGAATGCACTTTTGGTCCCACTATTGTTATATGATTGGGATAAAAAAATTATTTTTAATGAATTGGTAATATTGACTAGATTTATTTATTAATTAATATTTATTTTTCTATAGATAAATTAATTAATTCATTTTCATTTTAAAGAAAAAACTAACAATTGTACTAGATACCCAATCTACTAAGACTTCTTTTCTCCACAAATCGAAATATATATAATTGTTTGAGTAAACTATATAAACCATGAACTTAACTTAACCATTGCCAATATGGGACTAAAAGAGAAACTATATTTGAACCAACTTCATCACAACTTAATAAATCTCACTTTTCATCCAAAGAGAATTGCTAACTTGGATTGAAATATGATAAAGAGACTACCATTACATTTAACTAGAAAGCTGTTGAAGAAACCCCTGCATGGAGCTTGAGGCTCCACAATCATGTGGTAGAAACAATCCAGTAGTTTCCTCTAACTTCAAAATGCAGAATTTGTTACAAGGAATAATCTCTATTTTTTGTGGTGAACAAAATGCATATAACCCATTACATCTCATTCAGCAACAACTTTAACCATTGCTCCAACGCTTGTCTTTGCACTAGAATAGCTAATAAGACTAATGAAGTTAAGTCAAAAATAAAATAATAACATTAATATAAATCCCCTGTTTGTAAAGTTCTTAGAGTCATAGATATTCTTAAACTTAATGGAAGAACATGCATGTTTTGAAGAGATGTTTTCGATGAATCTTTTGATATGGATTTATGCTTGTTCACATTACTCTATATAATGGCCCTGTAGCAGTTATTCTCCATTCATTAGTTAGGAAGACACTTGGATTATTATCAGCCTGATAATCTATGATGCAGAATGAAGATAAATATACAAAACCAATTGGCACTTGAATCAGCATGCTAACAATTTCTTTATGTCGGTCCTTGAAATGTTTATATGTAGGTTCTAATAATTTCTTGTGTTCTTGACTCTTATGTTTGCTTCAATTCAAAATTATGATGTGTGGTTCTTGACTCAGCAGCAATGGTTAAAATTTCAAATAACCTCTATTTTTTGTGGTGTCTCGTTCTTGACTCAGCAGCAACTATAAGAAACATGGAGAGTATAAGAAATTGTTTGAAATTTTTTTCCATATACAGCTATGTCATACTGAGTTGAGATGAATAGTTAGTTTAGCCCTTCACCATTCATGCACATATAATTGTCATGATTGCATGCACAAACTACAGGATTGGAGATAAACTGCATTATACTACAGGATTGCAGCTTCATACTCCCACCCTTGAAAAGCAACGATTTGTATGGTTGTAGCACAAGTGTTTATAAAGCACACATCGATTTGTATGGTTTTAGCATTAGTGTTTATAAAGCACACATTATCATTTAATAGTCTCAACTTGTGAATTACTGAAATGGCCTCACAAAATTTATGTGGTCTAAGCCCAACAAAATTCATTTTAAACTAACTAATTTTCAAATAATTTTTTTTTTAAAAACCTAATTAAAAATATTAACAATTAGTTAATTAATTAAAATAATATTAATAAATTAATTAACTTAGTCAATATTGTCAACTCACTTTTTATTCCAATAATCAATGCCCAAGATGTAAAATTAAAGGAGACCATAAAAATATCAAGTGAAGTAAAATTTAGAAACCTGACTTCTAGAGACTAAAATAGAGAGACAAAATGCATTTAAACCTATTTATATCTAAAGGTGTCAAGTAACCTCAACCAAACTATGCTAGACACAAGATCACAAAAAAATTAATCATAATTTTACTTAAAAAATCCTTCGTACTTGTAACATAAATATCGGGCGTTTCATACTTACTGAAAACATACTGTACGTCATATCGAAATGAGAGTTCTTTAGTTTCTTTATGAAAGTAAATTTATCTTCATGCATAATTTATAGCCTAACAGTTGCAGATTAAAAAACAACATTGTTTCACCTTTTCTGCCTTGTCCTACAACGTACTTTTTTCTATAAATGAATAAAATGGAAATGTAATTAAATATTCAGCTTAAATTGCAAACATAAGATCAAATAGATAAATTTCAACTAAGCAAAAATCCTTCAAAATTCGATTGAAATTCCAAACAGACATTAAAAATAAGCCAATCAACTCAAGTATTTAAATAGGAAAATTCATAAATGTTTATCGTAAACTCCTTCATGAAACAAGACTACAGAAAACTAAGGCAAAGTTCAAACTTCACCATATCTGTAAGCTGCCTATGCTGTGGCAGTTGGCTTGGTAGCAGTGGATAGTCTAGACCTCTTCTTCGCTAAGCTCTCACTTCGGCGGTCCCTCTGCTCCTTCAATCTGGATGCAAGGAGTTTCTGATAGTCTGCTGCCTCTGATTTAGCCTTGGCAATTCTCTTTTTCTTATCTGCAATTCTTGCTCGCTTCCTTTGGAGTGTCAAAGGTGTGACAAGACGTTGTATCTTGGGAGCTTTGCTCTCCTTTTTCCCTGGAATCAAACATACACAACTTAAGACAGCAGTTGATAACAAATGCCTAGTAAGGTGCAATTTTATCAGATCTTGAAGGGATCATCAGAAGTTGAGTGAAACCGCTGGCTTTGAAGCATTGGTTATTTTGTACAAAGTATAAACAGGAACAGACAGATACTACATGTGTGGAGTCAAACTTACCAGCTTTGGTGGTAAAAGTACGACGATAGGTGTTGACATATTTCCGCACATCATCTTCCTTTGACAGGTTGAACAGCTTGCGGATTTTGGATGCTCTCTTAGGACCTCTCATCCTTGGCTTCTCAACATCAGTTAGACCTGGTAAATCATTGTCACCTTTCTTCACAATTACCAAGTTCAAAACAGATAGGTCAGGGCTGACAATGCATCCACGAACAGACTTTCTTCTACGCTCTCCATTACGCCTTCCGTGTCCACGGAAACAAGGAGTGCCTGCAGGATCGCATAATATATAAAAAAACACCCTCAAATAAAAACAAGTTTGACTAAGCTAGAATTTTGCAACTTCTGAAATTTCAATGGGATCCAAAAATGATTACACGAAAATATAGGTGCCCAAAAAAACATATAATCATAAATACTCAACAACGGACACACAGTGTACATAGTAATCATAAATACTCAACAACTGACAAACATACAAATCTAAAGCTCATCATTACTTAATAGTCAAAGAACCAAAAATAGAGTAATAAACAGTGTTATCAAATTGCCCCACCATGGCTGCTACGGCGGATATACATGGCAGTTTTGGGGCTTGCCACAATGGTAAAAACCAGCCGCTACGGTGCGTTTTTCCGCCATAATCGGCAATAACAGAGCCACAAAGTGGCCGGTATGGCGGGATTTTGGCCCTCCGCCATTGACAACACTGGTAATAAAACATAAGCAGAGATAAAAAATAAAACAAAACTGAACTAAAACTAGAAAAAGAGCAGAACTATTATTTGTAAAGCAGAATCAAAACATTACTCAAATAATTTGGATTAAAATACACAACCTTAAAAAAAATCCATTGGTAGAAAAAAAAATGAATGAGAAATTTATCCACAATTTCTAATAGCAAGCTGCAACAGTCATTTGGTGCCGCAAATAGCAACTGCTATTGTATGATATTCCACTATAGTGGTGATATGGGGACAACATATGTTGCACCAACAACACCAATTATAATAATATGTTCCTAGTACTCTTAAGGGAAAATAAATTAACGCTTAAGAAAAATCTACCTCTGTGGAGCAAGAGTCTAACACGGCCAGGTGTCAACACACCCTGCTTCATTGGGAATCCTTGTTTGTCACAGCCACCAGTAATCTTGAAAACATATCCTTTAAACTCCTGAAGGTATAAAAATTACAAAACAAAATAGATCAATTACAAGACTCTTAAATTACAAGAGCACACACTGCAGATTGCAAGCTAAGGATAATACCTCGCCCAAAGCATCACCAAGAACCTCCTGTGAGATCCTCTTGTCCCAAAATGCACGACTGCAACGTGTAATGAACAATAGAATCATCAAAGAGAAACAAACCACATAGATAATTCACCAGAAACTAACATACAAAAAAGGAACTATCAATAGTACTACACTGAATATCAGAAAATCAAATTCATAAAAAATGTCAGTATTCTTTTAACCGCGCATATCATTAAACAAAAACATATGGCAAACAATAAACAGATTTACACTACAGTTAAGACAAATTAATGAATAAGAAACCATAATATTCAAAATCCACGATGCACATACAAAAATTGAACACAATTGATGCAAAAACATAAATCAAAACTCCATCTATGACCATGGCTACCTCATAGTAACGATTTTTATCTCCTAAGAAACGTAACTAAACAGAAGAATGAGAAAATCAAGAGAGAGTAAATAGATTATTACAGCTTCGTGTCGTCATCGATTTCCAGCTTCTTCTGGCATCCAGTGGTGGGATTCGCAACGTTGAACTGAATTCAAAAAACAGAGAGTAAGAATCGGTCAGAAAAATTCAAAATGGAAATCAATGCTTTGAAGAAATCGATGAATCGAAACAAAACCTTCATGTTGCAATCTCGTTCTGATCCAGCCGCGGCTTACTCTCTTAGTGTAACTTCAGAAACAACGGAAAGGGTAGGGTTTAACACACACTGGCCTTTTATACGCTCTTTCTCTGTTTTGTTTCTCTATTGGGCTGGATAAACCCAAACCCGCTTACTATGGGCTTTTTTGTATTCTTTTTATGTATTGGATCAAAATTAAGATCTATATAGTTTTCAAAGGATTAAACTTGTCACCCCCCCTTCAATTAAATCTCGCATCTCTAATATTTTCATAATTTCCAAACTGGTCATGACCAAATTTAAGTTAACAAGTACGAATAAATTTTTCAGTTGTTTATTCAAAATTTCTGATAATAGACTAAAACTTTAATAATTATTTTAAAATTGTCAGTATGAATTTTTTATCTATTTTTTATTTTAAAAAATTAACATACCGAATCTTTTGATAAATCTGATATTTACCTTATTTTTTGGATTTTTTAAATTTTCTATAGTTCATATTCAATAAGCAAAAAAAAAAAAAAATTAACACTATCAAAAATTTCGAAAATTGTTGTAGTTTACCAAAAATTTCAAAAAATGTGGAAGTTTATCGAAAATTTTGAAACTCTCGATAGTATTAATTTTATTTATTTTTTGTCGAATATGAGCTACTGTGTTTTTCGAAAAATCAGTTATTTTTTCAATTTTTTTATCAAAAATGACTTATTTTTTATCGAAAATTTAAGAATATTCTAGTATTTCTTTGAAAAATCAGGTAAACGTAATAAAAAATTCTAAAAATTTTAGTAAGAGCATAAAGGTAGTAGCAGCCATTGTGTGGAGGTGGCAAGTATAATTAAGGGAATGACAGGTAAAACACTCTAGTTTTCATAAATGGAATTTCTTAATGCACTCTATACATTATTGTTACACCGCGTGAAAATAGAATAATACCCCTAATATTCGAAGATGTATCTCTGGATGCACCCAAAATATACTACCTAAGTTGAATCTGAAACACGCCCCAGGTTTGTAGTTATGTTAAATTCGAAAATACATCTCCATAAATATTATGGAGTTGCATTTTCATATTATACTATAAGCAGTAAAGCAGAAGAACCAGAAAGGTGTAGGTTGACAATGTATTATACTGTTACAGACCAGATACATTAATTATCCAATGAATTTAGAAAGGTGAAATGTCTCTTATAAAAAGGATCAGATAGAGTATTAAAAAATACATGAGTGGCTCACAATTAACAAGCAGTCGAAATCTTAATAATAGACACTTTTACAACTCTGGCTCGTGACTTCTTTAGGTATATAGACTTCTTTTTATAACCCTTTTCTGAACTGGATTGGGCTTCAAAACACAGCAAGGAGATTGCACAAAGTCTGCAAAATCTTCTCCTTGAGAATAGGTCTTCAATCATAACTTTCCTAAAATGTCCCATCATTTAGAAAACTTGGATAGCTTGAAAAACAATATATGTCCCTGATTCCTCACACTAGGACGCCACATGTGATTACTGAATATTCCTATAATATGCAATACTTGTAACAACCAACCGAATCTGAAGCCCAACTGTAATAGACACGATGTCGAATGATTCTGCAAAGGACATTTCATTCAACATGTTTTCTCTACAAGTTAGAACATCATACTTAACATGTTGCTGCCTAATTTATTTTACTAAAATTATTGGCAATCTTAAAATAGAGAATTAATAATCTCCCCCTTTAACAAATTTTGGCTAAAATAAATTAACATAATATAGTTCATATTTCAATTAAAAGTCAAATACAACAGCCAGAGCTCCAGCAATGATCATTTCTCTCAACTAGGGACATTAGTAGAGAGTTATTCTTCAGAAACTTTAGCACCATAGAGAAATAATATTCTCAGTATGATTAATGTCAGGACATCATGTTCGACATCTTCTTTAAGGCAGAACAAGCATCTCCATATTTGAACATCAGACTCAGCACCATGTATCATACCCCAAATTTGTCTGTCCTTTATTTATACAGTCAAAAATATTTTAAACATTGTTTTTATAATATTATTTTATTTTTATAGATATTTGTTCTCAAGTCCAGTTAAAAATATCATAATTTATTTCAAATTATTTGTATTTTTAAAATAACAAATATTTACACATCTTTCATATACTTTCAATTGAGTTTATTTACAAATGAGTAACATAACATAATTGGTAAAGAATGAAGCTTGCAAATATGAGGTCACGAGTTTGAATCTTGTATGTTGCATTTTTAACCCTTTTTATTTCTTTTTTGTTGCTAATTTTCTTACCCTTTTTATTTCTTTTTTGTTGCTAATTTTCTTTCCTTTTATGGAGATCAAACTTTTGGCTTCTCATTGGACTTTTGGATAACTTACTCCCTAAGCTTGTTTAACCTAATTCAAGTCTATAAATAGGAACTTAGTTTGTCCTAGTGATTCATCAAGAATTTCTCACACATCCATAATCATCCACAAATTCCAGAGATTTTTCTTTTCAATTTTTTTTCAATAAAGCTTTTGGTGTTACGGAAAACTTTAGTGTTATTATATTTTTTTTAGCCAATGATTTCATATGAGGTCACCCACTCTTTCAATTTCTATTTTATAGTTGTTTTCCTTTTTGCTGTTTTCTTCGTACAATGATAATATATGAGGGTCCTATTCTTTTTTTCTAAATTATGATTTTTGTTTTATGAGCTAATATTATTTTATTCATTTACTAATTATATATATATATATATATATATATATATATATATATATATATATATATATATATATATATATATATATATATATATATATATATATATATATATATATATATATATATATATATATATATATATATATATATATATATATATATATTGAAAAATCTTAAAAAAATAATTTGCACCGTACATATTACACGATTTCTAATCTTTGATATTGTTTACTTCTTCTGTCTTTTGTAAACTTAAACAATACTCTCATATGTACATACACTCCAAAGCTTACATCACCATATTGAATCAACATTGTAAAATTTCTTCTCACTTTCATATTTAAATTGATGTGATAAACGTGTATTGCTATTTTTATGGTTGAAATTGAACAAATATGGTAATGACAAGAAGAGAGGAAGAAGCGTTTTTTTTTTTTGGAAGAAAAAGGATAAGGATCGTGTGAATAAGGAAAAATCCAATTTACGTTTACTTATTGTCAGATTTTATTTTTTATATTCTATTTATTTGTCTTTATTAATATGTCACGTGTTTATATTTCATTGATGATTTCTTAAGTTGAAAAGTCAAAATATTAGTGGCTTTTGGTTTTAATAAAAGAAAAAGATTGTGATGCAGCCTGATGTAGTGTTTCTCATGAGTTTTTGATTTCATGAATTTGCAATTTAATTTCAAAGTTTGTCTTGTAGACATTATGATTTATATTTTCGTTTAGTTTACATCATTATTTTTTTTATGAAGGACTAACTCAAGAGTTTATGCTACTATCTCTACTCTTTCTACTAGATCTAAAAGCCCATATTTTTCCATACCCTTTGATTTATTTCACATTGTGATTTAATTTAGTTGGTTTTTTATTATTATATTCATTTAGATTATTATTTTATCAATACCAAAAATATAAAAACACAAAAAACATATTTCTATTTAGATTAGGCTATTTAATGAGTTTTATTAAATCAATTGAGTTTTACTTAGTTAATCAAAATATAAAACACATAAAAATGCTCTTTTATTTTTAATTAGGTTTTATTTAAGTAGACTAATTAAATCACTAATATTGTATATAATTAAACATTTTCTTAAATTAAATTAATTTAATATTTTACATCAAATATTAAAACCCGCACAATTCACCATTCGTGAGCGACACGTGGCCAATATATGGCCACGTGATGAGGAGACTATATCAGACTCCCCTCTCTATGTCTTAAGATAACTAACCAACATCAAAACATTTTTTAACTAACATGATCAAAAACTCAAGATTATTTTCGAAAAAAGGATTAAGGAGAATTTCTTTCGAAATTAACTGCGAACTGCGTCTACGATCACTCAACTTACAACCCAGACAAGGTTCAAGGGTAATTTGAAATCAATTCTATGTAATCCTATAAAAACACCAACCAACACTACAAATTAAGACTATGGTTCCTCTTAAGAGGATATATAGGCATACGACTAAAATCGTGGCGAGTTCCCCTAATAAAACATTAAAAACCTATTTCCTAAAAATTGTGCTTCTAACCCTAGTATCCTTGCGAACAAGGTAGATGAGGGGTGCCTAACATCTTCCATTCGTCTAGAACTGAGTCCAAAAACCTAGAATCTCTAACTTTTTAGGGTTATCCTTTACATTCCCTTCCTTAGGATGAAAATTAAGGGGGACAACTCTGATTTAAAAACCAGTTGCAACAGCTGGAGACTTTAATGGGGACTCAACCCTAGGTTTAGAAGCCTTGTCTTTTGGTTTTAGGGTTTTTCTTATTTTTTTGGGTTTTTTATATTTGTTTATTTAACTATTTATTTATTCGTTTATTTATCTATTGTTATTTTTATCATATTGTTATATTTGTGGTGGAATTTAAATTTTGCAAAAAATATTTTCATAAACCCTTAGAAAGAAGGTTCATCTATTAGCCAAGGAGATACATCAACCTTGTGAGTTTATGTGACTACTTCGCCTAGAGTCAGTAGAATTTCGCGAAAGAAATACATCTCAAGAGGCATCATCTTGGGAAGTAGGACTTTGGAATGACACTTATGACTCTTTATACAACCTTCAAACCAAAATATCATGATGAGACCTTTCAAGACCTAGAGATGAAAGTTTCAGTCTGCGAATAGGCTCCACTTAAGGGAGACCCTTGTGCCTTTCCCTCTAGTGTTATTCATGATACCCTTAAGGAAACCACCTTTTGGGGAGGGTAGAATATTCGTAGGCCAATTGTTCTACCCCAAAATTTGCTCTCCCATTTTTAAAGATAATA